AAATGTTTTTTTTTTTTTTTTTTTTTTTTTTTTTGTGGGCTTTGATTTTTTTTTTTTTTTCCTTCTTCAGTTTCCATCCCATGGTATGTGCTATGGAGACTGATTATGCAGACTATTTCTGTAAGATATGGCCAAGTGTATAATTTCCTCCTTGCTCTCATTCCAGGAGAAACATTTTAAGTTTTGCCCTCCTCCTGGAATGCCTTCAGATTCCCTTTGATTTTGAATTTTTTTCATTCCTCTTATCCTTCTTTAGATTCTGTTTCAAAACACAGATCTGCTTCTCATTTTTTTGAAGTATCATGGTTAATTTCTGTCTTTTTTCACACTTTGTTAAAATGAGAGGATGAATTTAATACTTGCCCTCAGCACTTAGCTTTATCTCCCTAGGACACTGTATATAGCTCCTGTGGCATTTGAATTGCTCTGAAGTTGAGGATCCCTTGGATTATATGGGAGCTGTGAGCAGTATAGCCAGCACACTCAGGAAGGAGGAAATGAAGATACAGTAACTCTGTTACTTTTCTTTTTTTCAGTTCTACTAGGCAACTCTGCTTGTGGTTGGAGGGAAAGCTGACAGTACAGTCTTCTGGGACGCCTCTGAACTTTGGCTAAGAAATGACAGATATTAAATGCTTTGTTTTTAAAATGCAGAACTCTTAAATGTATGTGATCAAATTCAAATATACTATGTTGAAGCATGTAGACAAGAGGAAAACCAAAACAAATTCTCCTTCCCCCATTTCATTTTGAAATTTTTTCCTGTTTATAATCTGAGAGTGGTTCTGAAACTGGGGTGATTTTTGTCTTTCCTCCCCAGGAGACATTTGAAGACAGTTGTGGTTGTCATTTTGGGGGAGGGGGTGCTCCTGGCACCTAGTGGATGGAGGGCAGGAGTGCTGCTAACCATCCACAGTGCACAGGACAGCCTACCACAGCAAAGACTCATCTGGCTCAAAATACTGGCAGTGCTGACACTGATAAACTCTGTTCTAAACTGTTATTTTTTTCTGTATATGAGTGTTTTGCCTGCATGTATGTAAGTGTATCACATGTGTGCAGTGCCGGTGGAGGCTGTTGGACCCCCTGTAACTGGAGTTACAGAAGGTTGTTAGCTGCCACATGGGTTCTGGGACCTGAACTCAGGTCCTGTGCAAGAGCAGCCAGTGCTCTTAGCTGCTAAGCATCCCTCTGGCCCCTAAACGCTTAATTTTTAAAAGCATGAATTTATTGAAAAAACTGTGCACTCCCACCCCTCAGGGTCAGTCATCTAAGTTTTACCAGTGCAGGATATTGATGATCTCCATGTGACTCTGTAGTGCAAGTTTTGATTATCTTTTTGTTGTTGTTGTTAATTATTTAATAACCACACACTTAGAAGAAGCATTTCATTACAACAGCATTGACATATTCAATAACAATTTCTGAACTAAGATGCATCTTTTTCAGAATTGGCTGTAAATTTTTAGGTTTACAGTTGAATTATTAGTTATACAATATTGTACTCAGTATAAACCCTCTAAGACGTAAAGTTAAATGAGGTTTTAACCTTTAAAAAAGATCTCCATTTCATTATTAAAATAGTTTCATACAGAAAAATTCATTTTCAATGCAATTGACATTAAGATGTTTCCACATACTTTTCTAGTCTCTATATATCTGATTATTACTAGTGATAGTCGGTTACTTTCTGAGCTCCTTGGCATCTGAGCATGGATATAAAGTCATCAGGTAGATTTTAGTGCTGATTATCTTTTAAGTTTAGGATGTGATTAAATTAGGAAAGAGATTATGCACATTATTTTCTTCTATTATACTTGAAATATTTTGCTGACTTATGAATAAACTTTCCAGTGACCTGCTTTGATAGTCTACTTTGATAGACTGTTCATGTTCATGAACATGATGAATAATTGGTCAGGGTGTCAAGTTTGTGTTTGCTTTGATCTGGTATTCTCTGCTGTAATATTCACCTTTATGATATTTCTTTTTATCCTTATTTAAATTCTTGCGCTGTATGGCTGTGGGATATGCATGCCTGCAAGTTTGTATCATATAGATATGAAGACGTGCAGTCCCTGAATGATTTCAAGGTTCATAGTTTTCAAAAATGATATCTCTTGTCTGCCTTAAAAAATGATTTCTTCTAGTATAATTTTCTTGAGAATAATTAGCTGGATCTTGGTTATCATTACATTCATGTAGGTTATAGCAAGTAATTTTCTGTACTCTCTTAGAGACATTTGCCTTTTTTAAGGGCAAATCTTTGTTATAGTTAATAAATACTTACCTTGTTTTGAACTTTTAAGAAAGTTAACTCAGCCCACTAAGTTGAGAATTACAGTGAAACTCTTACAGTGAGTAACACTATACCATTCAGAAAGAAATTCTGATGTCATTCCCATAACAAGTATGCAAATCAGCTTCACATTGGTGCACACCTCCTCATAACCTCCTCCTGACATTTTCACCTTCTTGGTCCACAAGACTTGCTGAGTTTAAGACACAGAACAATATTATAGCAAATGAAAATTTAAATTTCCGAATTACTCCTTTGCATTCTAAGACTTTATTTTATCGAATTTTTATATTACAAGTACTTTTATTTCTCATCTTTTAAATTAGTGATTGGCTT